TTTTTTAGGATACTTTAAACTTAAAGCGGTTTAGGATGCTGGGTGCCTCATGAAGAGCATTTGAGCTGCCAAAGTGCTTCTGAGCTGCTAAAGCATTTTAAAGCTCAGTACTAAAGCGATTTAGTGCTGAAGTAAACTTTACAACAGCTCAAAAAATAGGTGGCAACTGCAAAGATGGTATTTACCATACTCTGTCAATCCGTGAGTCACTGAGGTGGTTTCTGCTCACCCATGAGAGCTCTGAACTGAATGCTCGGGAAAACAAAGCTGCAGTTATAAACTTTGTCCTGATCCCTCTACAGCTGGCTGCAGAGCAGGAAGGTGGAAAGCAACCACTAAAGGTCCAAGTAGTTGCCATGAAAGAAACAGGAGGTTTTTATCTTACTGTTCTATGAAATCAAGGAAAAAAAAAAGTCAGTGTTAGCACTAATAAGGTTTCACCTGTCAGATGACTGATAAGCTGTACCACTTGTTCTATTTAGGAACTGCTAGCATGATTCAGTCCTCTGTTCTGTTAACAGCTGGGACACATTTTGCTCTAGGGAAACCGTCCCAGTTTGGGGAAAAACATACAAGTTTTATCAGACAATCCTTATCAGGCCTTCCTGGAGCTTCTATATTTCTGCTGTTGTAGTGAAAACCCCTTTTTTCTCCCCATAAAATCACACTTGTGACTAAAATTGTCTGGTGCAACTTTGAAACTGTGGAATTGTGGAAAATCTGCATGGAAAAGATCCATCTATTTTGATCCCAAACCACAGCCTCCATGTGGGATCAAATGCACCCCTCCTGTTTTGACATCTGTCAACAACTGAGTGATGGTAACTGGTGAGAAACCATTAGCATCAGTATCCTGGGGGTGTTTTCTATGCAGCTCCTCATACAAATATGGAATTTGTGTGGTATGCTGCCTGTTGACAGTCTCTCTCATAGTCTCCTTTCAGAGCTGAAGTGGGACTACCTGAGACTTTTCTCAAAATCTTTCTTTTAAAAATTGAGGTTTTTCTTTCAAGTGTTACAATTCCCACTAGAAGTGTGGTTCCATACACAGCATATGCAGCAGCATCCATAGTGCAGTTGATCCATATGTTTTGGTAGCTTGTTAGCCATTACTGATAATTATCTCAAGGAGATACACACAGGCTTATAGAGCATCACTTTCAGACAGTGTTCATGACATCAGCAGCTTATACTGAAAAAGCCTTGGAATAGCATGACTCAAAAGTTCATCTGCATCTTCTCCCACTAAAGCAGTCACTTACTGCTTCCACTGACCCAGTGCTGGAGTCCTCATGTGCCAAAAGGAGGGTTTTCACCTGTGTTGCTCCATAAAGTCATTCTATCTTGTTTTGTTTTCTGTTGTGCCAGTCAGCCCTATGTAACATCTCTTGGATTCCTTCTCAAATATATAAAAGAAACTCTGGTATTTCTGGTAAAAGTCTTCAGATGCTATTTCCACTGAAATGGTGCTGCTTTTCTAAGCTGCGTGTCGGGACGTCTTACATCTTACATAAATGACACACTTTGTGTGTGTGTTATCTGTATTAGATTACTTACCTTCCTGATTTTCCTGTTCAGTGAAGCACTGAGCTGATCAGGTAGGATACTTACCTAGCTTAACATCCTAATGTTAAGACTCCTGTTTGACCTTGTGTCAGGAGGAGATGCTGAATTTTACTGGTTTATGTTGTACTGTTTGGATTGATGCCTTTTTGAGTTACCTAGCTGGGGCTCTGATTGATAGGTCAAAATCAAGGTATTTAATTGAGGTTCTTAGTATTTTCATAGTGACTAGCATACTAGAAACCAACTTCAGCAAAAAAAAAAAACAAAAAACTCTCTCTGGGAGAAGAGGGAACAAAAAGATCAGATGCAGGGAAAGTATGCTTCTGATACATATATTAGCTGGGATTTGAGAGTAGCTCAGAATCCTCCAGCCAAGTTCATATAAATTCATACACACCAGCTGTCTGGCGTTGCATTCATATATGGCTCTTCTCTGATCCTATTGCACAAATCCTGGCTGTACAGCACATTACAGGGATGAAGACAAGTTAATCTCTACCTTTAGAGTCTTACCCTTAGCAAACCCTTCTTGACAGCAGGCAGAACCACTCACCCAGTACTAATTCTGTCTCAGTTTATTAGACAAGACATGGCAAGACACGAACTTCATGAACCAGAAGTGTTTGGAAATCTCATTATTCTGTGTGCAGATTCAAAATGTTTGTAGCAGTTCTGTGTGTCTGTATCATAATAGCATCTTATGTCTAGTGTAGGTTTGTTGGGAGACTTATTTTTTAATTAAATGCTTTAAGGTTTCATTAACTGATAGTGGTTTTATCTACATCAAACACATGTAATTAGCATTTTTTAAGAACAGTTTTTGGTGTACCTTTGCAATGAATGGATCTGCAGACTTTATGGGAGAAGCTGAGTGTTACTTCAAATATTCAAGTAAGTCTGCCAGAGAAATCAGTTGAACATATAAAAATGTATGCAAGCTTTTGGGTGAAATATATGGAGCAACTCATGCATAGTCTCATTTCTGTTCCCATTGAGTCCCTTCGTAGAGAAAGCTGTCCTGATTGCTTGAGAAATCAGATTTTGTTTGAAAAAAGCAAACCAAACAATATTATTAGTATTCTAATGTTATTAACTGTTGTATCAAGGGTTTTGTTCTTAAACTATGCTAGGAGACCTAAAGTTAGAGACTAGTTGTTCAAGAAACCACAATCAGTAAAATAAATGACTTCTGGAAATGAAGAAGATGATGATACCAACATTATGAGCTCCAGGACCATGAAATATGTCTTCTTAACTGGGTAAGGTACTCCTGGAGAGGCTGTAGGGCTAAATTCTAATCCTGGGTACGTGGGCACAGACTGTCCAGAGACTGAGATTAGAGTGTAATCCTAAAACTGGATTGAGAACCATACATTCCTTAAAGAAAGGAAAATAACTATATTTATACCTGGTGTTATCTGGTGAGTTTACTTGCATGCCTTTACTGAAACGAAGGTGTGGATGGTTCACCATTTTTGATCTAGCTGATAGTTAAGATTGCAGCGAGTCAGAGTTCTTTTAAACATGATGCTATGGGGTATGGATCAAGGCCTAGTATTAGTAAATTCAGTCCTTCAGGAACTAAGTTTGGTTGGCACCTCGTTCTAGGAGCGGGGTGAAGGTAGACCTGTTCCTTTCTGCTAGCAGGCAGCTATCAGCTTCATGCTCTGATTGCAAGCATAAGTGGGGTTGTGTGGCGCTGAGCATCACAAAGGCACAACAGGAGCCCCCTGTAGGTGATGCAGGTGGGTGGTGGTGGGAAAAGAAGCCCTCCTCCCCTTTGGGGCAGCACTGGGGCTGTGGGTACAGGACAGGGAGCTCTGAGGTGGGGCTCTGTGGAGCTGGAAGCCGGGGCCACGTCCTGCAGCACAGCCCTGATGGTGTACAGCTGTGGTTGTGGCAGCACCCAAAGGCTCCATCTGAGGTCACACTGGGCAGAGGCTTTAACATTCTATCACTCTATTTGTTAAAAATTGGAGCAAGGATTAATGAAAATAGTGGTCGTAGCTGAGCAAACATGGGTATGCGTGTGTGTATGTGTGCAGTTGGACACCTGCCCTTGTCTCCTAACCAGCTGTTCATGAGGGATGGTCTCTGTTACATGACTTACATGCAAAAGGTTAAAAGCATGATGCATTTTGTTTGCCTTGAGGATTTATTTCATAATTAACAGTGAAAATAGCTTCTCATCGAAACAGTATCATCTTTGATTGTTTTAGGGGATGAAAGGTTGCAAAATGTGGTTGAGTGGGGTCAGTTAAAAGGAAACCAGACTATGTTGTTTACTTCGTAATCGTTTGCTTTTAAAACATAAAGAAGGGATTTTTTTTCCATATTTTTTATTCCTAGATATTGGAAATGAAAGTCTTGGGATGGAGAACTCTCTGATGATCGGAGAGCACGGTGAGTATTTTCAAATGAAATGAATTTTTAGTGGGATTTTTGTCTTGCTTTGAACTAAGCTGAAATAGTAGTACAAACAGCAACACTGCCAGTGCTGAGAGAAACCAGGCAGTAGAAAAGCGAGTGAGTTTTAGGATGGCTCTTTGGAACTATTTATACTTAACGACTCTAATTTCCACTAAGAGTTTGACTCTCAAAAACATGTACTGAATCCTCTGTACCTTTTATGTTCGATTAGAATATGATATTGCACCAGTGTCCTTCAGACATCCCAACATTTCTGAATAAATGGAGAAAACTGTATTAGACCACTAAAGTAAAACAAGATGGTGCTTTTAAAATTAGTATTATTAATCTTTTCAGGCTGGTTTTCTTCATTACAGAACAAAAGACTGTAAACTGGTGTTAAAAATATTTGCAGATTATGCAAGTCAGATATAGGACACTAAAATCACATTTTCCACTTCATATAGAAAGTCATAAGCTTTAACATAAACTTATTCTCGTTAGAAGAGCAGTCTGACATTGCAGAGCTGATCATGTAAACAAACTCAGAAGTCAGCATCTGCAACAGGCAGAATGCGTTCAGTTCCACAGCTTGCAGGATCAGACCAAGGCAAAGTTACCTGAGTCAGGATTGTCCCTATTGCTCTTTTTCTATCACTGGAGCATGGGAGAGATGGGAAATCCACATATTCTGTAACTGAGGAGCTTGAAATTTAACTGAAAGGCAATATAATAGTGCCCAAGCTCTCCTCAGCCTGCATTTAATTCCACCCACACATTCTGATAATAACAAGGTATAAGGAACTCTTATAATATGATGATGCTATTTTTACAAAATATATCACTCAATATATTGGTGTTCTACAAAACTCTTGCCACAGGTTTCCTACAATAACTATGCATATGAGCAAAATTTAAATTAGGCAAATCTCATGCAGGTATATCAGATTAAACCAGCCAACTGCATCCGCGTGATTGTAACATTGATTAATGCAAATTGCACACTGATTTAGGCAGCTCACTACTCTAGGAAGTACCTGTGAAATGCTGAGGTTTTTCTATTGCACTTTAAGAAGTATAGCACAAAGAATCAGCTGTACTGAGTTACAGCCAGTTAGCTTCTAATATTTTAAGACAGTTAGAAAAGACAGCAAAACATTGGTTTATGTACATTAAACAACTCAATTTATGTCCAGTTTTCTTAAAAACTACTGAGCATGCAATGAGAAGCCCTCCCAAAGTAAAAGCTAAAAGCTTCCTTTTCTGAAATAGATCTTTAAACGTTTCCAGAATTATCAAGTGTATGCTATAAGGCAAATACAGTTTCCACCTGGATATGCATGTTTATTTACCCACATTTGACAGATGGCTGAGGAATTGGTACATAGCTCATCACAGACTTTACTTTTTCTATATCACTCATGACTACCCCATACTTTGCTCTTTGCAGTGCAGTGCTGCTCTTCAAGAAAACAGCCTGCTTCGACCTGTGCAGTTTCCCTCCTGAGATAAGCCTTTGCTACCAAAACATGAAAATCATACACTTCTTGGTATTGCTTAGCAAGATGTTGCATAGCTATTTGTATTATAAGCTAGCACTGTTTATTTCTATTTCATGTATACTTACATCTATTGTGAAGGCCTTTGTTTTGAGGAAAATGAAGTCGCCATGAACATCCAAAAGTTTGTGCCTTCACGATAGGTCTTCCTTTCAAGCTGCCTCAGTAATGTGATTGGCAGCTTTTAAACCACATCAAGATTAACATGTCAAAAACTGCCTTAACTAACGCTGACTTTACTTTAAATACAAATTGAATTTATCTTGATTAGCCCTCATCCCTGCTTCTAAGCCCTACCCACTCTGACATCACAAGCCCTTCTCCAATACCATCCTCTAAACAGGCTGCAAAAACGTAATTACAAGAAGAGGAGCACGCTGATCTGATAAACCTATTTCACATTTAACCTGCTAAGCTGTTGTTAGCTTGTAAGATGCTTGTTGCATTCACTTAAAATCTTCCTGTTCCAGAAAGAAATACGCAAGAAGGTTAAGAAGTGCCTGGCTCTCTGCACTGTTGTCTGTTTGCACAGATTTCTAGGAACAGCATATTTCTGTCAGTTGGAGGGCAGTCAGCCCACAACTGTGTTATCCCAGAGCTGTGTATCCGCTTGGACTGGGGAAAACTAGAAGATGGAAATCCTGTTAAGCACATTGTGAGGCTAACACAAGGATCAGATGGTTATACTGCTCAAGCCGGCAGTTTACTCTTTAATTCTCACCATCAGTGAGTTAACCCTGGGAATGAATGCCCAGTATATCACCAAGTTTAAAACGGCAGGGAGAGGTAAATTTTTTCCAGTATCCATGTCAGCCCATGGGATGTCAGAGGTGATGTTTTTTTTCCCCTCGCTCACCCTCCTGAAGTTCATCAGGTGCTCACTGCAGCAAGCACAAATGCCCCATGTCCTTTCCCAGATACCATCACAGCACCTAATCCTGGAGAAATACAGGATTGACGAAATTTCCAGGTCTAACAAAATACAGGTCTAACAGAAATTCCACTTACAAGCAGACGAGGTATGTCAGTAGCATGTTAGCTACCAAGATGATTCTCAGCGTGTGTTCAATCCTCTCAGTCTGTGGCTGCCTACAGAAGCTTGTCAGTCCAAATGTGATGAGCCAAAGCAGCCTTGAAGAAAGCTCCTCTGCTGGGATGTTTTGGGATTGTCTGAGAGAGGCTGAAGCAAATGCTTAGTAAGATATGGGGTTGCCCAAGTACTCTAAGAGCGAAGTATTGCATCAGCATACATTCTTCATCAGATGTTTCAGCCTGTTGTATCACATTTCAGGAAAACTATGAAAAGTTTAACGCTAGGAGAAAGTACTTCCTGAGGTAGAAACAAAACCAGCATATGTTGATATGTATTTGTTTCTGTTTTATCTAATGAGGGAAGATTGGAAAGGGAGAATGCTACGTCACGAGATCCCCGGCATCCAGTCTTTGATTTCTGGCACAGAAGCAGGGTTGCTGCATGCTGTAGTGATCTGTGACAACCACAGTGCTTTGACAGTCCCTCTCTGGAAAGATCTAATTGTTCTTGACTGGATTTCACAGGTGTTGGGGGTATGTTTCTGAATCAGACATGTATCCATACGTATCTCAGCAGTCTTGTTTTTGCTGGTCATCTTCTCCAATGGGAAAAATGGTGAAGCAGCAATGGAGAGTGAGAGAGAGGGACACAGGAGGTGAGTGGACTGTATCAACTTGTCCTAGACCGTGGTTTGTCAGTCAGCATCACTGTTAGCTCAGATGATTTAGCACAGTGTGTTCCCACGTTATTCCCTTTGCACTGCAGAATCTGAAGGTGAGTGATTCAGTAGTTGAACAGTTCCCGTGCAATATCTGGTGTTGGTCACCTGAGCTACACTAAGTATATACTAATGTAAAAGATAGGGCTGGAGCTACACCTTCTCCTGTGCACTCTTGCCCAGATATATTGGCAGAGTTATCTCCGTAGTCAACACAGCATCACTTCGTTTTAGAACATAAGGATTTGGAAGAGCACTACCAAAACCCAGCAGTGTGTATTCAGGTTCAGTCTTCACAGAATGCAATGGGGTTTTCCTGAACTATCCAGACCCATTGTACCAGATGGTACCGTATGGATGTAACACTGATCCTTTGACTCTGTTGATTTCTAATTAGGTTTCTAGTAATTAATATAGTTTGCAGGCCTTGCATGAACTCTGCAGATTACCCATTCATGTGAATGATTAACTGAAAGGGGATTAATCCTGGCATGAGTTCAACCAAAAATAATTTTCTAGCCTGAAAATCTTATCTGACAGGCTAGTAGATTTTAATAGGGAATGAGACGTTGGTATTTGTGTAGTTCCATTTCACAAAGAGAAACTTGACAGAAGAGTGTTAAAAATACAAGCATGGTAGACATAAAGCATTTGGTCACCACTCTTGGACGCAGGGTTTGGATTTTGGGTGGTCCTGTGTGGAGTCGAGTGTTGGACTTTGTGATCCTTGTGGGTCCCTTCTGGGATGTTCTGTGATTCTGTGGTAGCATAAAAGCACAAAGAAATGTCACCCATGAAAAATCTCAATGAGTTTAGGGAAACTGTTTTAAGGTTTCTCAGAGGACTGTGCGTTTCTGAACCCAAGGTTTTTGCTGGGTTAGCATGTTCTCTGTGCCTTTTCAAACTTCTCCTGTGACCAGTCTATGGTTGTACATAAATACCAAGAAGATCAGCTGTAGCTTTCATAACACATTGAAATCTGTTTTAAACAGCTGCTGTGTGTCTGGTACTCCATTAGACTTTCAAACACTTATTTTACAGGAAATAATGTGAATTCTCAGGTCCTTGGACCAAACTTAGTCCTCAGGCATGCACGCTGATCTCAGTGTGGGAAAGTCTGGAAGGTATTTGTTCCAGGGAATTGTCAGTGCTGCACAGTTTTCTGAGTCTATGAGCCTATAAGCAATGCCAATAAGCATTTTTCCATTCCCAGCAATTTCTCAGCCCATGCAAATACCTACTAGGCAAACTGCAGCAGATTGAGCCAAGCAGGAGAATACCATGAAAGCTACTGCAAGCAGTGACGTTCATGCAGAAGGTGGGAATGGGAGCAGAGATGCATGCTAAGGAAAGGGGGAAAGAATAACATTGTGTTGACTCAGTCTCCTCTTACAGAGAGGACAATGCTGGCTGCACCTAGGGATGAGCAAAGCTGAGAAAGGGAACATGGGTAGAAGTAAACAAGGGTGTGCTACTATGTGTTATAGGGCTCAGAATGTTGAACATCCTTAGCAGATAAATATCCAAAATCATTATATTCTATATAAATACTGGGCCAAGTGCCTCTGATATAACTGCAGTTATTGACTATAGCAAGTGTGCTGTATTATTTCATCCAGGTGCTTGGGGTGCTAATTTTATTTAATGGATAATAAGTGCCATCAAAAAACAGAGTTGCTACTTTGCTTGGATTTCATTGAAAGATGCACTCCTAAAAGGAGAGGAAATCCCCAAAATGATACTCGGTGATTAACTACATAGAATATTGGATTTCAGTGTTTGCAAATCCTTTTTTTCAAATGAACTTGTGGCACTAATCCTCTAATGGCATTATTTCTTTGGAATATATGCCGGATTAAGGAGTCACAATGAGGCAAAGTACAAAAATCCACATTAATCTCTCACCAGTGGATGCTGTGTGGGATGCAACTTTAACTGTGTTTTTCCAGACCTGGTCTGTTCCTATCCTTGCCCCAGGTCTACACAGAGGGAGGAACAGATATAAACAAATGTGACACTGAGCGCTCAGCAGATGGTCACAAGCCATTTAACTAGATGGAAAGGCCTGGGCATTTATTATTTTTAAACTGCAGAAGCTAAGCCTGCCCTATGCTGTCTGTGGTGAACTGCAGGAAGTAGATGGACTGGTCTGCGAGGCAGGAGCAGGGCAATGTTCACCAGTGTGCAGGGAGAGAACAGCACTGCCCTGCCTACCAGCTAATGAGGGCCTGCCCACCATTCTGTATTCCACGTGCAGGGCACAGCCTGGGCTACTGCAAAGTAGCATCCATGCTTTCAGCCCTCGCTCTGGTCATCCTGCTTTGCTTTAGGATAACCTTGCTGTCCCCTCATCCTGCATAGCTTGCTTTCTAGGAAGAAGAAATTAGGTCGCTGTGAAAATACAATTCCCTTCTCACCGGATTATAGGGATGCTGTCATGGTGCCATGAGGTATTTTTACTCTCATTCAATGGCCTAAAGTGGTGATAGAATTTCTGAATGGTCAATGCATCACTTAATGCACTGATGTCAGAGCACTGAAGCTAGCCAAGCCTACCACTGTAATCAGTGCTTAACGTGCTTAAGGATTTCCCCAGTTCCAGGGATCGGAGATTATCAGATATTCCCGTTCCACCTTCATCGAAGCACGGTGGGCATGGAGCCCTGAGCCCAGCAGAGCCTGGCACGCGTGCACAGATGTGGGTTGCCTTGTTGCTGTTTCATCCCTGGGCACTCTTGTTAAGCACGACATTGGAAGTGGATGAAAGCTGTCGAGTTCAGTGAGTTCCTTACTGACGGGAGTGCTTGGGGTTCTCAGCTGTGTAACTGAGACACCCGGGTAGGGGTAGGACTCACATAGGTGCTCTTTCCCTGTGGATACAGAGCAAGGTGCTGATTTCAGAGATTGGGTCAGAACAGCCATCCCTGGGCTCAGGAGGCATTACGACCAGCTTGGAGATCTCTGCTTTTTGGGAACAGTTATGTGCCCTTGATTCTTGCAGGTAAACACTGCCCATGAGAGCGGCTTTGTGCATTTTTTCCTTCTGCAAACATCTTTCTGAGTAGTATTTCTCATGGGTGGGAGGATTTCCCTGCTGTTCACTCGAAGTTTTCTTCTCCTAATCTTATCCTATTGACTCTCAGCAGCACACTGTGCCCCACTCAGCCCTGTCTGAATCATTTGTACGTTGACACACTGAGTCAGGCCTGTCCTCAGCCAGTGTCTGCCGTGCTTGCACAGCAGTCATTACTTTTATTGACCATCTTTATCACTCCCCACCAAAAGCACTCCAGCTTGCATATGTCTGTAATGTATACATAGCAGTGAGAGGACCACGTAAAATGGTGTTGGAACAGGTACAGGTGAAGGTGAGCAGGAAACGATGAGGAAAACTCATCTGGCACATGAGGGGAAACAAGAGGTGTTGGGTTGATGTAGGCTATGGGGGTGACAGCATCACAGATATTGGCCAGGAGCATCCAAGCTAGAAAACGTAACTCTCACTGTCATGGAAATCAGATTTACACACACACAAATATAGGGTAGCTTGGTTTATGCACCTGATGTGATCTGTGATGCCGTACTGTGCTATCATGCTGTTGCCTACAAGCAGAATGTGGTGGGTGGCACAGCAGGACGTCTCCTCTCCTGCATGCTGTGCCATGAAGTGCTCAGCAGTGAGCTACCCCTCTGTGTCCCTTCCATCACCAAACTGCAACGCCCACTGACACCTGCCTTTGCTCAGCCTCCACCAACACTCCTGACAAGTATGGACAAAAGGGGTGGGAAAACAAAGAGCTTTTCTTCAGGTGCTGCTGTAACCCGACCTGCGAGGTGACTCAGCTGGCAGCAGCTGTGCGGGACGTGGGGCGGTCAGGGTGCAGCGCTCAGCCTGCACTGCCACTTCCTCCTTTCTGCATTGCCAGGGAGCTCAGCTGTGGCACCAGCAGAGAGTACCCAAGTGGATTCTCAGCTCTCCTGCCTGAATAGTGAGGCTGGAACAGCAGAAAGGACCTGCAGAGCTGTTGTGCAGAGCTGTTGTGCAGAGCTGTCGCTGTCAGGCTGATGAAGACAGGAACACTCAAAAGAAAAGCACCTGGAATGTCCTGATAGGTAGAAGTGAAGTTTTGTTCACGTGCCATGGCTCACTTCTGCCAGCCCTGAAAGTGCTGTAAAAGGTGAAACAAACCCACAGGTGTACCGATGGAAAAGACAGGTATGGTTTTTTGTCTGTTTCAAATAATACTGTTTTACAGCAAGAAAAGCAACCTGGATAACTATCGTTGCTTTACAGCTCAATAAATATGCTTTGTACAATTTTTGTACTTTACACATGAGAAATACAGCTGCATCAGGCTAACAAGAGCAAGATTTAAAAGAATGCATCAGCTTTTTTCAAGTGCTCTGCCCTTGAACACTTGTATCATAGCAGATACCTTCCAGCAGGAGAAAAAGCCTACATGCATATTGTTGATAGTGGTGACATTGTGTGTAACAGTTTTTAAGGTGATCAAGTTTGTGTGCTCTGCTGGGGATGCTGGGTTGTGCAAAGAGTTCTGTGAGCAGATCTCTGCTGGGGAAAGGGGTCACAGCAGCTTCAAAGTCAGCAAATGATGATACAGCAAGTGTGGTATAAAGAAAGAAGGAAAGAATGTATATGAATTGTCATAAAGCCAAACTTCAATTTACCTGTCAATTAGTCACTGAAACTGAGGTCATCATAGCACTGAACTCTTTCAAACAAGCTGACTGGGGCCCTTGCTTTTTTCCAGCACTGGTGCACTCCCAGGAGTCCTTGTACTCCCTATTGCACACCTCACCTTCCTGACAGCCAGCCTAGCCTTTGGCGTGGGTCACTTTGGTGCCCATCTTACCCGACAGGGAAGTCTTTAATTTGGCCCTAGGGCTCCCAGTAGCCAGGTGGGGAAGCCTCTGGAGCAGTCTGTGTTAACAAAGCAGCAGAAAGTGAATCTTGGACCACGTCACAGTGGGACCAGTGAGTCTGCTGTGCGGATACTGAGCATTACCAGGTCCTTTCAAAGGAGGAGATACGAGCTCAGAGACTAGTTCAGTAAACAGTGACACTGATATTAGCATGGAGGGGATGGTAGGAAATGGTCAGTGCATCTGCTGTTATGAAAGAGGGTGTGCAAGAGTGAATGTTGCTAAAGATAATTCTTTCTATGTCTGCTGATCCGCTGAAAGGAGACACACAGAGTTGCCAGAACAAGAGTGAGGAAGACATCCCAAAGAGTTCCCCATTTGACTTTGTTATAAAGCAGTTCCAAGGGAAGAAATCCTCTTCTGGAAAGAGAAAAGAGCAGCCTTCAGCCATCCAGAAGTTCTTCAGTGGCTTTGACTTTGGGAAATCAGAAGGCAAGGAAAGACAAAAAATTGAAGAAACAGAAATAAACAACTGTAGAGCTGATGATCAGAGTGAGAAGGAAAATCTCTCAGTAGAAGGTAATGCTGATACAATGAACAAATCCATGTGGGTGCATTTTAATTTCATAGAGAGCCATTTGCTTTTCTTGCTAGACAAAAAGTTATATTTTACTGCCTACAATATATCCTTTAGCCAGAATTTGCTTCTGATTGAAACATTATTGAGGATGTGCCCTCTAACATGATAGGTGCCAAGCGAGGAGTGGGGTCTGTGCTGCTGAGGAGGCATAAAGCTTTTGTGTGACCTCCCACTTGATCTCCAGCGTGAGAGGTCAGTGCTGGAGGCAGCTTATTAGTTGCAGAGCTTATTTGATTTCAAAGCCAAGCTTTGAGCAGTAGCTTGGCTTGTTGTATTTAAGATTGGTCTCTGTCCACCCCGCTGCTAAAGCAATCTGAAGGCAGGCAGAGCAGATGTTTCCTACCCCTTGACACCTGTGAGGGGGAGGGAAAGGGAATGGAAGTTCATTGTGAATGTTATTTTGTTCGTACAAGAGCACTCTCTACACGCCAGAGAAAATGAGGCTATTCTTACAAAGGTGTTGGAAGGTGAGGCTTAGAACCCCATTCTCTGATCTAGGAGTTCTGGGAAAACAATGAGAGGACAGCTACTGTGAATGGGATTACTGTTTTGTGTACCTTTTGGTGTTTTCTTTTTTCCTTTTCATTTATGGACATTAGATAAAACTGCTGACTTATTAAAGAGTTTAGTGAAAAATTACAAATGAAGCTTTCCTTGCTGTACAAACTGCATGGAGGAAGAAGGTAAGAAAAGCAGGAAGTGCACTGCACAGACAATGTATGAAGTGAGCACAGGCTGTCATAAAGCAGGAGACGATCACCACACAATTGCAGGGCCACTCTGTTCTGACTGACCCAGTACAGGCTGTACCCCAGCCGTGTGGCACACAGAGGTGGTTAAATGACTTGTGTATCCAGAGTAGCTGCAGTCTGGAGTTTTGCAAGAATTTCACGTGCTTGAACGAGTAGTGCAAACATCCTGAGTCTCTGGCATAAGGCAGCAAGGTTCTTTTCTCACTGAGCATCAGGAGCTGTGTACTGATCTGACCTATCTCATCACTCAGGTTGTTGGTCCATGCTGATCAAAAGTAGAGGCTGGCTTACTGGCAGCTTTAGTTCATTTCCTAAAGTCTCTACCTGGCATTCTGGGTTGGTTGCAGAGGTAACCAGGGCTGTGTTTCTTTGTTACTCAGATGAATCTTCACAGCTGATTTCTGAAGCAGAGTCACCATCTGGTGAGCAGAGATTTAACCAGTTCATGCAGAAACTAGGAAAGAAACCCAACAGCAAGAACTTGGATCTCAATAATTGTGCATTAAGTGCAGCAGATGTAACAGAGCTGGGTAAATATGTATTTTTTTCAGCTGGACACTTTGTGTATTTCTTTGATTCTGATTTGCCTATTCAGTTGTTCACTCTTTTCCTTTCCTTTTCTTTTATCTCAGGCTTTATTTAAGATTTCATTTAGTGGTCCCAGGTCCCTGGGGAATGTTAATAAATAAATTGTATTAATTATGTAATATATAAAAATGTTAAAACCATGCAAGACTGTGCAGCAGGAGAATACCTTCATTCTCAGGCTGCGGATAAGAAAGCTGAGATGCAGATTGTTATGATTTTGTAATGTTTTAGAAAGCATATCTGTATCGAGATGTATGGACATCCAGGGTTTGCACATGACGTACAAAAAATACTTTTTTTTTCTTTTTTTTTTCTTCTTCAGCTTCTTTACTGCCATTTCTCCCAGAGCTGGAAGAGATCGGCCTGTCCTGGAATGGTTGTGTTGGAGGGACTTTGAAAACCCTCACTGCTCAGTTCCATCATGTGAACCTGCTAAAAGTCCTTCGACTTAACAACTGCAGGCTGTCAGCTGAGGATGTCACCTCCTTAGGTACAGGCATTTATGTTTGCTTTCAGACAGCTTGGGTGTAATGTAATCCATCTTGTCTCTTCCTGCATCCTATCCCTGCTGCTTCCACACTGGGCAATGTGAAATCCCACTGCAAAACACTGGAAAGAACTTGGGGTTATGAGTGACCTCGTACATTTGAACAGCTGTGTTGAGTTCATAGCTCAGGGCACAGAGCTTTCGTATTCAGAAGGCAACAGAATTCAGTCCCATTTGCAGAAGAACATGTTTTCCATCTGGATTAGGATTTTTTTGATGCCTTTAATATCTAATGGTAGACAGCAACAAAAGTGAAAAAAGCTATCAGTGATAATAGGGTCAGTTTAGGACTTTGTTGCGGGACAGATGCAGTGCTTGTCACAAAATATTTGGAGGAGACTTAAAACCAGCAGTTTTATAACTTGTTTTTGTAAGTTTGGAATAAGTTTATTCCTCTGCTTCTTTGCTGGGAGTGCTTGCAGCCCTGCTTTTTGCAGAGCATGCTGTTTAAAGGTTTTGAAGTTGGTGGTGTGCACACAGATCCTAATCCTGAGTCACTTACCTCTGGGCCTGGAATTTACTGGTGGGGTGGGCCTGTGATACGTGTGTGAAAGAAGGGCAAACTCAACCAACTGCGTTGTTCTAGAAGGTCATTGCTCATTTTGCAAGTTCTAAAAACTGGTCTGGGTTAAAAGCTTTCTTTTTCCCTATCATTTGAATCTTTTTTTTTTTTTTTTTTTTTTTTTTCAGGAAATGATCAGACATAACATGTATGCTAATAGCTCAGAAGTAGCTGATGCTATCTGTTGGGAAAAAAACAAAGCATTTTTGTATTATAAATCTTTCGTGAAGTATTAGTTAAGAAAACATAGAGACATGAAAAGTTATTATTATTTAAATACAATTAATGATTTCTGGGTTAATTATGAGACTTCGGATCAAATACTGTAAATTGCATTTGCATATTGGCTGATTAAATGATTTATTTGGAAATACACATCTGCCTCATCCCTCCAGAGGAATTTAGGAAGTTGGATTTTGCAGTGGGATATTAGTGCTACAAAGCAGCAGTAACACAGTTCAAATTGGCTGCTGTGTCAGGCCTGGGAAAGGCCAGTTTTTGAGAATACAATAAAAAGTCAGTGCTGTCTGCCTTGAAATCTTGGGAAGCTAGTTTGTTTCAAAATGATACTTACCTTGATTCCTGATGAAGTGAGTTGAAAAATCCTGCTGGAAACAAACCCTTGAGAAATAGCTGTGAGAAGACTTCTTTCAACCCATCCCAGGTGTCCTGTGGACACAGTATAGAAGACACTGGAGGTGTGCCAAGTAAAATAAGGCAGAACTGTACAGGACAGTAAATTCAGGCTTGTCACTTGTATTGATTTCCCTGTAGACTAGACTTTCTGGGTCATGGCATAGGTCTGCAGTGTTGATCGTGCAGTCTAATGAGTGTTTGGGAACCTGGATAAATACAAGGTCTGTGTGCACTATGATGGTAACTTGTGTTCTGTTTTGCTCCTTGGACAAAGTGGGGATTTATACAGCGTTGCTGCAGTAGAATGCCATACACCAATTTACCTATCAAATAATCCAAATTACAGTTTGAGAATCAAGTGGGTAACTTTTCTCTTTTATGTATTCAAGGCTGTATTTTTGTTTTCCACTGAACTAGATATCTAGAATGAATCATTTTGGACTTCTGTTACAGGAGAGGCATTTGAAATTGTTCCTCAGCTTGAAGAACTGGATTTATCATGGAACAGTAATATAGGTGGCAAACTATCACTCCTGACAAAAAAACTTCGGAAGGGATGCAAAATTAAACTTCTGAAAATTACAGATTGTAACCTGACGGCCAAAGATGGAGAATCCCTTGGTATGTGTATCCACATAGCTGGACTGAAAGACTGGCTTCACAGAGATGTAACTCAGTTGAGTTAGATGATGGCTGTTTTGAGGTTGATCTCAGTTGAGAGCTATTAATTTCAGGCTTTGCATTATAGCAGTATTTACCATGCAGTAAAAGAAGACCTGAGGGATAGGAATTGGAGTTGGCATCCAGTTGCCACCTCTCCCCTCTTTCTATCGTATCTTAATCTTATGTGGTCTTTTGATCTGATTGAGTTTTTTAGAAGATTTTCTCCCTCAAGAGAAGTGCCTGTGCTCGGTTCTGATCTTTACTGTGAGAGATGGCTCCTATGCCACATAAAGTCCTGTATCTTCTCATTAGACTTTGTATTCCTGCTTTTTGTTCTCCTTTTTCTTACTGTCTTCTATTTTTTTTTTTAAGGATTTCTTTTTCTATGTGGGTTTTGACTGATGTTCTTGATTTCTATCTAATCAGTGTTTTGCTGTATTTTTGGTAGAATAGGAACCTTTTCTATAGAATAGAATAGGAAAGTTTAAATCACATTTATTGGTGGTGCCTTTTCCCGTTTGTCATAATGCTGTTCTTTTCTAGGACTCATCTGTATGTTCCAGACAATTACCAATTCTAGTTTTCTTTTTTTCTTGCCAGCTGAAATACTAAATGTGCTCCCAAACCTTGAAGTATTAGATCTCTCTATCAACAAACACATTGGCTGCAGCATGAAGGTCATTGCTCAGGGTCTGAAAAACGTACCGGGCCTCAAGGAGTTGAACTTGCACATGTGTGGATTAAAGCAGGACAGCCTCCAGGGATTAGGTTAGACTTTACACTCAGAAAGTCTTTCATTCTGCATAAACTGTACATCTGAAACCCATTTCAGAAAGGCAGTGTGGTAGACTTTTGCTGATGGTTTGTCAGCGTTAATGGACAATGGTTATTTGCTGCTTGAGGATTGATAAAAGACTACAGAGACTTTCTGCAGGAGTAGCATTTATCTTCCCTGAGTTCAAGCATGTGAAAGTCAGTGGGGAGAGTCACCTTCCACACCATTTATCTGAGACACATCTTAGGGTAGATTAATGGCTCTCTGGACATGCTTCCTCCCTCTGCAGACAGAACATAGACAAGGGCACAGACAGTCTAGCTAACTTCTGAAGACTTAATCCTGCTCTCAGAGGGGAATCAGAACCTGCCATTATCACTTAATGACTGTCCGGTGAAGCCATACGAAATGGGCTTATTATCTGTGTCTCTCCCTAGTGGAGGTCTTATCCTTAAGACAAAACAACTGGCACTAATTAGCACTTCCAGTAGTCTTTTCAGCAAAAAGCTGAGGATTGAATGGATCTGGGGATGACTTAACCTCACCTTCACCTGCTCTTTTAGAGAAGAATGGAGTAGCATGGGTGGAGAAGCTTTGCAGTATTACTGTGTCTGCTGTGATTATGTGCTGAAGCTTAGTCTAAAAGCTTTGCCTTCAATACTTTGTGCAGAATTTGACATTAAAGTAAATAAGTGTTGAAGCTGTGACCTGTGCTATTGTAGTAGTCAGTGACCAGCCTGCTGTCGTTTCCTTTTCAGACACTGCTTTGCAGCACCTTACAGCACTAAGAAAATTAGACATATCATGTAACAAAGAGATTGGTGGTGGCTTTAAAGACTCAGCAGCTCATTTGGCCAGCTTGAAAAATCTCGAAGTCCTTGACCTCCACCAGTGCTGTGTAACAGAAGAAGACACGACCGTTTTGTGTAAGGACATCTCGAGGAAATGATTTAAGAATGTATGGTTTTGACTTCTGAAAATACTTCAAAGGCAGAAGAGATTCTGTGTAACATAGTCTAGCACATCTCAGTTCATTTTTTGTTAGGCAGCTCTGGAAATGCAGCTCAGGGGATAGCTTTCTTGATCAATGTGGAGTGGGGTTTTTTTTCTATATCAAAAGAAGTCCCACAGTGGCTGATCCCATGTGGAACTAAGGGCTTGAAACTGCCATGATTCAGACCTGTGATGTGAATGTAGGAACCAGCCCCAAATCCAGTTGCTGAGGATCAGTAATTTGGGAAATGTCCAGAAGCAATCTCACTGCTGGCACAAGCTGACATGGATCCAAGGCTTTTATGTGCATGCTAATATAACTGCCTAAAACTACCTTAGTGAGCCCTGAAGTGGGGAATGATGTTGGTCTCTAACTCCTAAGTACAATTAGGAAGGAAAATACCTCTCCCATTCAATCAGTGAGACAGCTTATTTATTGTGTGCATTATCATAACTTTTTGATATTAGTTTTTGCTTTTTAGAACAGCAAAAAATCACGACTCGAAATCTGTATTGTCTAAGTAAATCTTATTTGCCATTGTGAAGAAGATAATTTGAAAAGCTGCTGATGAAGTATTGGGAATCATTATTATTAAAATCAATTGTTATTTTTAAAATTTCTTCTGCACATACTAGAATCAATAGAGAACAAATCACATTAATACAAGTAGTTTAGGTTAGCAGTGAAGACTTTTAGAAATAATCCTCCCTCTCATTTAATATTAAATTCCCTACTTCACCTGGAAAATTTTGGCAGGAAACTGTGTCCTGACAACCTTCAACGCAGTGTCTAATAATATCTAATTTCTTAAGCATTCCTACAGAAAATGACAAGCAAGAATTAAAGTATGTTTGAGTGTCAGATCTTGGCCTTGACTTCTGGGTTGACTTATAAAGACAAGTAGTGATGTCAGTCAAATATACAACTGCATTAGTTCTGTGTCCATGACTAATAAATACTTCATGTCCTCAAAGCCCAGGTGATACCTTTACTCTCCAGTCTTCAAGAGCTGAATTTGTCCTGGAATAAAAACATAGGAGTCTCATCTGATCCTCTTCTCGGCAGACTCAGATTTTTACCGAAGTTGAAATCTGTGGCCATCAGCAATTGTGGTTTAGGCAAGGAGTCCTTTTCATCACTAGGTAGGAATGTTTTTTTTAAAGTGTATCTATTCTCAGAGTCTCCTTGTGGGACCAAACACTTCATTCTCTGTTGGCTGAACTCCAAAAATAATGATTACATTATAGTGCAGGTCCTGAGTGGAAAAGTAATTGTCGCTTTCTCCTCTGGTTTTGCCTTATGATGAAACCAGTGTTTCATGGGACCTGGTTGCAAGGGAAGATCATTGTATGTCTTCCCGTTTCACCTGACTGAATGAAGTGCTGTTAGTTCTTTATCTGTTAGTGAACTTTCATGTACTTCTTAATATTGGAAGAGAAGGCAGCAGAACAAGATTCATATTATGCTGGAATTGCAGTTTTACTGTAAATCTGCATTTGCAGTTTATTAAGGTCAAGGTTTAAGGGTTTTTTTGCTCTCACTACAGATAAAGTAGAAAATTTCTGACTTATAGTGAAGTGTGGGGCAATGGAGGAGCTGAGAAAATGACTGCAGTAGTGGAAAAGATACTGCACGGCCAATGAAGAAAAGTCCAATCTAACACAGGATATGTAAATGCAACCTCTTCTGCTTACTTATTGCAAATCTCAGTGGATTAGTGGCTGTACTGTTCCTTTGATAGGAGTTCCATATGGCACACAAAACCTAATACAGAGGGGTCTGTTAGAATGCATTGTGCATTTGCTGTATGTTTGATACCCTTTATTAGTGACACTGAAACCCTGAGTACAACTTGACTGCCTTTAGCAGAAGCAGCATCAAGCTGAACTGATCTGAGGTCCTTGCAGAAGGAGTACCATGTTTATGTCATTCCAGTTATGTAAGAATGGCATCATGGAAATCAGTGTTGTCAAATGATACACTGTATTTTACCTTGAATGGTGAATTCACTGCAAAATTTTTCTGGATGTAAGTGGATTTAATATGTTTTAAAAATATGCTGTTATATTACATTGACTACAGTGGAACAAGGTGAAGTCAATAATGCAAACAGAAAGGAAAGAAAGCTCTTCTGAGAGTCCTTGAAGAATCTGTAGACAGGCCCTTGTTACATTGTTTAGCAAACACAGGAGAGATTTTTTGTTTGTTTGACGTTTATTAAGACAAAATAAGTCATTTTAAGCAAAGATAGGCAGCCTGTCAGGAGCCTATTGGCAGGTGACTTGCTGGTGAGGTGTCTGTTGAGGCCACGTTGTTTTCTCTTAGTAAGCAGAAGTTGCTGGTCTTAATCTTTTCAGCTGAGGCTGCCCTTCACCTTCCTGAACTGGAGATATTAGACCTTTCTTGGAATAAGTGCGTTGGTGGAAACCTAAAGCTGCTTTTGGGAGCACTAAAGCTTGCAACGGAGATTCAAGTGTTAAGACTGAGCAGCTGTAACTTGGTGGCTGAAGATTTGGCGCTTCTAAGTACGTATAACATGGTATTTACTAGCAGTCAAGGAGCCAGTGCACACAGACCACAATTCAGAAGGGACTTGTTCCATGTGCTGAGCACGTTTTTGGACAAATCAAATGAAAAGCTGGAAAATACAGCACTGTTTTTCCCGGAAAGTATTTTCATTTTGCTGAAAGATCTGTGTCCCAAACATGCACAGTGCAAAGACTGAAAGGGATAAAAAAGCAAAGAATCATCTCAGCAGTCTTAGGTGTTAATACAAAAATGCTGCATGTGGAAAAAATGTATGGTTCAACCCTGTTTTTTATATCAGATTTTTAAATCTGCCTCTGAGGAGTTCTGTTTTGCTCAGTTACTCTTTTTGGGTCAGTGATTGATGAGAAATGTACATGCTGACAGCCAGTAAGGCAGGCACTACCAGCTCTCAGTGCATCAGGTATGTTTTTGGAGTCCAGCTGTGGTGGGAGAATTAAACTGGAAATATTTTTGCCCACTTCTCAACAGCTGCTAAAAAAGCTGGAAGATGGGAGCCCAGCGAAGAAATAAATTTCAGAACTGTTTCGAAAACCTGTTTAAAGGCATCCTTATGATTCTGTGGGCCTGACTCGTGGGTTTTGAGTGTCTGAGATTGGCAATAGCTGTATGATTGCTATTAAGGCCCTGTAATCTGGAGGCTGGTGAGAAAAAGCCTGAATATTTTTGACTTTACAAACATCACCCTTGACAGGTGGCTCTTTAGTTGAATATCCATTAAGGATCTCAGGTACCTTTAGGGTATATTAGGCCCATTACCCTCCCACAGTGAGAGATGGCTGTTGTAATCATGCAAACTCACTGAGTTTTGCTGTTCTCCTAAATCTCCCTATAAAGCCTGCCTGTCTATTTTAATTGGCACCTGTTATATCCTCCAACTGACTTCAAGGTCTTCAGGTTGCCGTACAGTTTTATGTTTGAGTCCCTCTGTTTGACTGCTGAAAGACTCTAAATAACACGGTATTAAAATACTCATCTTACTTACAAGCTTTTAAAGCAATTGCCAGGATGTATTGATTGTGTTTGTTATTTCTTGCAGCATTACTGTCACACGATGGCCACCTAGCCAGGTTACGGAAGCTGGATTTGAGTTATAACAACACCATCTCTGATGAAGGGTGGATGGTTTTCTGTCAAGGCTTAGCAACATTCAAAGAACTCTCAGAGCTGGATGTCAGTCTTCGTCCATCATCCTGCCGTGCCTGTGGGACGTGGTTCAGTGAGTTGTTAGCAGCACTGACAAAGCTGCCTGCATTGGCAGAGCTGGGGATGCAGAGATGGGTCCTTTCAGAATCGCAGCGTAAACAGCTGGAAGGCTTTAATCAAGACAACAAAAGAAACATTCGTTTTGACTGTTGATGGAGGTTGGAGGTTTCTGGAAAGCCTTTGACAAGCAACATATGAACTAAGTATTGTGTGTCTCTCACTTAGAAAACTGCACAGTTTCTAGTTTTCTCTTCTCATGAGAGAACTTGAAATAGTTCAAAATTTATATAAAAACAGTTATTTAACTTTCTACACGCACAGATTGTTCCATTCGATAACGTATTCTTTCAGATTCTCTGGGCCATGCTTACTCTGCTATTGTGACACTACTGAATATGGGTAAGCTTCCAGTTGTGAATACTGCAATGACTGATACCAAAGGAGCAATGACAATTTCAGATAGACACACTGCAGGTTTGCCAATGCAAGGAAATGAGTGGAGTGTGCACTAATGCAGATGGACGGGCAGTGTAATTATGGCATCATACAAGGACACAAGGATACAAGGACATACAAGGAAGATGTTTCTAATGCAAAAATACCTGAAACCTCTATGTTTTAGAATTTTGTTTCCCCTTTTCCATACATTTTAATTTTTGTGAATGCATTAAAGCTACATAATTGTGAGATTTGGGAAGCATCCCAGCAACTCAGGATTATATGTCAGTCCAGTAAGAAGAAAACAGCAAGAGTTGTTCTGCCTCTGCTATGGCTCTCAATGCCATCTGATAGCATAGATGAATCCTGCATACATAAAATCAAGGTAAGAAACATTTGGTTGGTGTCTTTGCAAGCCTCAAAGGGAAATACTGCATAGGTTAGATCAGGAAAGTCCTGCTATCTTAGCAACAATCTGAACCTTTCTGCATACAAGACTAACCCATTAGCTTTTAAAACACTTCGTGGCAAAACTATTCTTATTCTTATCCTAAATGTGGAGGAAATCTATCCAGGGATGCAAAAGCTATTATTAAAAGCCCCAGGGCAGCTCCTAGCTAGGAGCAGACCACCCTGCTTTGCACCCAAAATGTTAGAAAATGTACCAACTCGGGTCATATAAGTGGCTCTTCTTTTTACGTTTGATGATTTCTTATTTGGTGTTTTATTGGATTTGCTTGCACAGAACCATATTCTGGCATAGTCATTTATGTCATGGAACATCTTAACCCACATGTGAGCTCAAAGACTGCACTGGGATTATTCATCCGTAAGGTATTTTAGGAAGTAAAGATATTAGATCTGCCCACTGAGTGAGGAGTCTTAGAGAAATCCTGAGGGATCAAGTACTGCTCAATTAGCCCTGAGTTTGTCTACACACTGCAGCAATCTCCTGGATGTGAGGCACGAGAGAATCATCAGCTGGCAGTTTCCTAGCTTGCCCAGATCCCTTCAGCATGTTTTCCCGTGGAGCTGCAGGGCAAAACTCAGCCTTCAATCTGGGTGACACCCTTAACACCGACTTGTGACTGGTTCTGAGTTTATTAGTAGCAGCCAACCACGTTGTGCTGATGCCTGTCCATTGTTTAATCCATGATTTCGTGAGGGTCTCCCTGGACTTCCTGATTTCAGTTTCAGTTCCACTGAAAAGTGCACTTGGATCCCACAAGCTCTGAGGAAAGTGATCAAGCAGAGTGTCGTGGTCAGAGGTAGCAGTGAATTGCTGCAAAGTGGGATTGGTTATTTTCTACAGATTTTCTCAACCCCTAAAGTGAAGCAAAGAGCCCCTGTTTCATACAGAGCTAACAAAGGAGCCTTTCAAACTGTTATTCAAGGCAGGAGAGTTATTTTAATGTGGAAACACTGTCACCTCTGTTTCACAGCAGCACACCAACCTTCTCTTTCAATCACTTGTCTTAATGAGACTTTCCTTCTCAAATTTGCCTTTGGTCCATCTGGAGAAGCGATCCTCTGTGTGTTCTATGGGAATCTTTGTGAATCACTCCTCTCTCACTTGAACCTCTCTAATTCAGATGGACTTCACTGTTAGTTTGATTATGATGTCTCTCTTGGGCTCCTCATTCTCATTTCCAGGGCACAGGAAGGATGTACTGTTTGCAGTCTCTCCACTCGCTTTTTTAAATTCCCTTCCCAGTCCTTTGCCCACTCATGAATCTGCCATGCCTGTTCTGCCACAAAAATCTTTTACTAAATCATTTTGATTATCCTGTCTGTCAATCTTCCCAGAGGTGCCCCTTCCAATGTTTTCCTCCTCAGTAGCCTCTGCTGTCAAAGCAGCACCAGTTTCCTAGTGAGATGGAAAGCCAAAACTGAGCAATCCCACCTTTCTGCACATAATAGTCCCCAGTTCTCTCCTACCAAGAAGCATATTAGTGAGATTTCTGTGACAACAGATTCAAGAGCAAACCAGAAATAAGATCTGCACCCTGGATGCAGATGTAGCTCAGAAGAACGTGACCTGGAGGTGGAGCTCTTGGGAGAGTTGAATCTCAGTGAACCTTCCTTCACCTCCTTCTTTGGGGTGCCACCAGCTTCTCGTTCTCTGGGGGAGCTCAGGCATGGGCAGGGAGAGCAGGTCTGAAGTTCTGCCAGTTTAAGTAGAGAGACCTGCTCTCTCCCACTTGTGCATTTTGAATCTGCACAGTGGCTTGTCCTAGTTTAGCTCTGTGCTTTAGGTGCATTGTGACAGTGTTCTTACATGTCAGGATGCAGAGCCATTGTGAAATGCTGCGTTTTGCAAACTCGCAGTTTTCAAATCAACCTGTTGTACACGGACATTTTACAAACTGTAACCAAGCCATCTCAGAGATGAGCTACAGCACTAAGGATTTGACAGCTTGCAGTCATTCAAAACTCTGTAACTACAGATTGTCAAAACATTAGGGAACATTTTTGCAGAAGAGTGGAGATACTTGGAGATACTTGGAAACAGCTCTTTTCACTCCTGTTGTGCAGATTGTGGCAGGTGTGGGTATGTTCTGACTGCTGGGAATCCTCCTCCATGTTTCCAAACAAGGTATTATTTATAAACATAAAAGACAGTAAATAAGTGCCAGTATGCATGAGGCTACAGGTGTGGTTTATAGTCTAGATATGGACGAACCTCACCAACTGGAAAACAAATTTCTAAGGATGTAAAATACTTGGAATTCATAACAACAAACAGTTAATCGCACCAGGTTCCTACAGATGAGATTAATTTCCAGTTAATCATCTGCCTCCGTGCTTCAAGATAACGTCCATTCAGGATGAGAAATCCCGGACTGTTTCAGAATCTGCCTTATTCAGCTGGAGTAGCTGAAAGCACAGAAACAACCCTAAAAAAATCACCAGTTTTCATTAGAATATCCACTGATGCAAATGCTTTAATGCTGTTTGTTTTGTACTCACTTCTCTCTGCTCACACCGGCTCTTCTTGCAGCTGACAGGGTTCTGTTCGGCTTACTGCACAAGAGTCACTTTTTGGCTTTTGCTTCTTTTCCAGACTTCTGTTTTCCCTTTTCTTTTCCTTTCTTTTCGTTTTTTTTGTTTGTCATACTTTTAAATGCCAAGAAAGGTCTGATCCCCTTCTTTGTAAGCAGCCCTTGCCACATATTTCGGATCTGAGGGAGAACATAGTCTGGTTACCTTGAGGAAATGGATAAAAGCCAGGCACGTTACGGCCTCCAAAACAACTCTGAATTAGAGTACATTCTTTGCAGCTTGCCCACTTGCCACCTGACTTTTCTTTTATCGTGTGTTACTTTTTCAAGAGGAATTCCTTATCAGGGAGAAGACCAACGCTGTCATCCTCCAGATCCTCTGAGGAGTAAATGGCAGTGGCCTCACGTTTTTAAACGTCACCACTAAGTTTGGAAGAGTAGTTTGGGAGAAACACATTAATTCATGAAGAAATAGCAGACACTACAGGAGAGGAAGATTTTCAGTTTCAGAAGAATCAAGGACTGTTCGTCTTTCCTTCCTTCTTGCCTTGTTTTTTTCTGAGCTAATTCATTTCGTGTTCTATTAGTGATGCAGACTGATGGTTTGGGAAAACAAAACAAAACAACGGCAGCAGAATCTCACAACAAAATATGTTTTGTTCAATGTGTCTGCACACTAGAACTTCAGTTCTCTACAGTCAGAACACAGCAAGGTGCCAGTTAGATTCATCTTCAAGCAGTGCCCAGACTTAGAGGACCTACTTTGAATTTAGACACAGTGACTGTTCCCCTATCACTGGACAAAGCTGGTAGCTGATGTGTTGCAGAGTGCCCTGTAGGTTGTTCTAAAGTATCTGATGACTAAAAGTACTTAGATGACTAAAAGCACTGCTTTGTACATACACACATACATCGTGGTTGCTTTAAAACACCTACCTTTGAAGCCTTGGCTTTTTTATGTCTTTTTTGCCATAAGTACTGCAGGATAGCAGATGTCCCCTGACAGCACACTTCAGTGGGAGGGTCTGTCATAGGGTTCCCATCCACAAGGATCACCTGCAGCTGCGTCAGGCTGTTCAAATCCTCAGGCAGCCTGGACAGCTGATTGTTTTGAAGGAGCAGTTTCTGCAAACCTGAGCACACAAAAGCAGACAGCTGCAATAGGAAGGACAGGAGTGATGCAAAGCATTCCTGCATTCTCCCTGTAGAACAGCATATGGAGGAGTCATAAACAATTGAGTTTGTGCTTATTAAGAGTTTGAGTACTAAACATCCCATCAAGGGTGCTGTTTAAAATCAAAGTGCCTCTCCCAAGTGTGGAGGAATGGGACTCAGTCTTTCCTAGCAAGGCCCATCTTCATTAGGTGAAGACTGGCAGTCTGGTGGCCAAATCTGCTATATTGTGTATGACAGCACTGTTGAACTTGCCATACATAGAGATGTATTGGGGAACAGGGGAAGATAAAAAGACTGAACTGGAGAACAGAAAGCATGTTCCTCATCACTGCCCACCAGGTCTTCTCCTGCCAGTGGTGTGCTAGGAGCTGAGCCCCAGGAATCTCCCCTGTCCTCTGAGCTTGGGCATTGGGAAGCATTTCCTTCACCCTCTCACCTCGTAACTTCTCTAAGTTTGTCCCTTACTGTTGCTGGGCCAGCACCAACCAGTGTTCTGCCTTCTTTCTCTCCCTCCTTCCAGAAATATTAGGTCCTTAGGGCCGCTAACACAAAGATGATTTCTCACCTTGCATTTGGCCTAGAGACTCTGGGAGCTTCTTGAGGAGGTTGTTGTGACAGTCAAGTATTCTCAAGTGGGTCAGTGAGCCAATAGCTTTGGGCAGGTACTCCAGACAGTTATTCTCTATATGCAGTTCTTTCAGATTCTGGAAAATATGTGTGTATAATAACTTTCCATAATTACAGGATTTTTCTTTAGCTTGCTGTATAATCAATGTACAGATAATATCAGCAAGTGGAGAAATTGGCTTTAAAAGCTGAGGCATCATTGGGTTAACTGCCTGATAGAGAGAGACAACCTAAGTTTTAAACACCGACTATTGATGTTCTTCCTATTCTGATAGACCTGGCCTGATGCTACACCATGTTCCCAAAGACATAAGGAGAACCTTCAGTTCTGCATTTGGGAGCAGCTGAAGTGCCAAGCCACAGTAAACACTCACCCCCCACCCTCTCCTGTTGTCCCTACCTGCAATTTGATGATATCTTCTGGCAGACTTGTCAGTTTAACTCCTTTATTTTGTCCCAGATACAATTTCTCTAATGACTCCACGAGAAAGATTTCCACTGGAAAGTTGCTGAATTGATTTTTGGACAGGCTGAGGCATTTTAAATTTGTTAGTTCTTGTATTTCTGCAGGTATCTGGACACAATCATTAAAGATACATTATGTCAATTAAACAGTAATTGTAGAGATTTGTCTTCAGGGAAAAATCTCAAGGAAAAGCTATAGTGCTTCACTATTATTGATGGATGAATAGAGAATGTTCTACTCATTAATATAACATTATATCTCACAGTATGGTGGAAAGGAGGTGGGAAAAAGTCATATTGTTTCCTCTGCTGGAAAGATTTCTTATGTGGTTTATTCTTAGCAGAAATGTTTGTCTGCTTCTTCACTTCTGTTGTGAGCTCAGTGCAGGGGGAGTCATTGAAATGAATCAAACCTGAGAGAGATTCTTCTGTGTGAATTACTGCTTGTCTAAAGGGAACCTTCAAAAAGAAAATTGCACAAGTGAAAATCTCCTGGGGGGGAGAGGGAAGTAGAGTTGCATTACTTAATAAGGGACGTATATTCTCAGCCCTCAAATGAATATGTAATACCTTAAAGTACTTAAAAACTGTTCATTATCAAATGATTAGCAGATATTAATGATTTTAAAGGCATTCACAATATGTCATCTATTTTAATGTTGCCCTATGCTCTGTTTCAGTTTTTGATGCATTGGTTCTACAGAAATGCAGCTCTTATTTTCCAGCTTACACAGAAAGATGATGAAATAAAGCACCCAACTCTGACAGCAGTTCCTCCAGTCAGTATTCATCTGTATGATTCAGCACAAAAGTAAGTGTCTCCATGCTCTTGCTTTTCACTCTCTGTCTCAGCTGTCAGTGTCAGTGTTACCCAGGCTCAGTGCATGCCAGGGGAGCATCTTCATACTTCAGTAAGGGAAGGCAGCTCTTGGTTGTAATGTAAGACTTTGCAAAAGGAAGGTCTCAGTGAAGTAAGAATGAAAAGATAGGAACAAATACCTCCTGTATTTGATTGTCATCCAGGTTCAATATTTCCAGTTTTTTCATGGAGCATATTTCTTTAGGAATTTCATCAAAGCAATTTTCACTCAGATCGAGTACCCTGACACTGGTTAGGCTGGTGAAGGACATGTGTGCTCTGTGCAGTCCGGTGTTCCTCAGATAAACATGGCTAAGTGATGTCCAAGAGCCTGTCTGGGCTGGCAGCTCCTCCAGGCTGTTATCAGACAGGCTGAGTTCTCTCTTTTCAGTGAGATTGTTCAAAACTGGGGGAAGCTTTTGCAGGGGATTATGAGACAGATCCAGCACCGCCAGCTTCTGGCAGTGTTGCAGCGTAGGAGGACTGGAAGATAAGTTATTAAAAGCTAAAAATAGCTTAACTAAGTTTGTCAAGAAGCCTATCTCTTCTGGGATGTGACCGATTAGATTTTGTTCCAGATCTATTATTTCTAAACTAACAATTCTACAAAGCTCGATGGGAAATTTTTCAAATCTATTGTTTTTGAGGTATATTTCCTTGAGTTTTTTCAGGTTCACTATTTCTTTTGGCAGACACTGTAGATTATTGTCAGAAAGCCCAAGAAGTTCAATAAGATGGAGGTATTTGCAGATCTGCACTGGGATTTCATGCAAGTTTATTTGATAGAGCCTGAGCTGGTGAAGGGACTGCAAGTTGCTGATTACCAGCAGAGAACTGTAAGAGAGGGGGTTGTTACTTAAGTCTAAGCTCAGAATACTTTTCAACATCCCCAGCTCTTCACATATGTTCCGTATGTGATTGTGATCCAAGTAGAGAACCTTCATGTTCTTCAGGAGTTTTATTTCTTTTGGGATGTTTACTATCAGGTTCTTCTCCATATGCAGCTCTTCCAGATGCTCTAGACTGAAGACCTCAGGTGGGATGATTTGCAGATGCTTGTTGGCTAAATCAATAAAAAAAATCCTGTCTGTGGCATTCCTGGGAATCAGAGCTTCATTCTCTGGTACTTCATTCATTGGTTGTTCTTGTGCAGTCACAACGTGATTATCTTCAAAACCAATGGGGTCACTGTTAGGGTAATGAGTGTCCTTTGTCCTGACCTCTGTGCTCTGCTGAGACTCAGCCATCTGTAATTCTTACTTTTAAATTTCAGAAGAGGAAAAAATAAAATAAAATAAACAGTACTCAAACACTAAATAAATAGTGGAAGAAGTTAAGACTGAGGGACAGGTCCTACCTACTGTCAGTTGTACCCCTGCAAAAGCTGCTTACATTCCTTGACATCAACATCTGCAATACATACAGTGTGACTGTGACTTTGAATCCAGAACCCCAAAATGCCAAATCAGAGGGTGGCCTTTGTGAAGTCAGTGGGGCTGGACGAAGCAACCTTCATTTACAAATATTCTTAGGAAAGGGGTCTTCTATAACAGAATAGTTTCTTAGCCAGGGAGATACCAGTGAACCTCATATTCAGTAGCCCTTTAATTGTGCAGAATTTGGACTGTAAAAGAGTGAGAGGTGGAAAGGTGACTGCCTGGCTGACCTCTGCTGTCTCTGAATGAATGTTGGTAGCTTTGGGCTGACAGTGAAGGGAGTGGGGGCTGAAGTCAGGAGGAAGCTGCCAACCCCTGGTACCTCAGGGGTGACCAGAATGAGGGGAAAGAACCAAAGGGCAGTGAGGTGTGGGGAGAGCCATGCTAAGCTTTGTGGTCTTATTTAAGCTTTGATAGCAGCGTTTCTTTTTTTCATTATTTCAGTGGTAAGGAGTGAGCATCCTGTGGGGTGATGGGAGCGCGTGATCCCAGCTCAGCCTTGGCTCACGTGGGAGTCAGTGGGAGGATCTCAGTGGAAGGTGCACTTCTGAAGCACATAACTGTGTAAACACACTGACTTGTGCCAAAGCTCCTCGGAGGGTGTGGGCAGAGCACTCAGTAAACATTGCAAGGGTAAGTGAGGCCGGTGTTAACATGGAAGTGTAATGCCCTGCCCGGCACTAGGCCTCCCCATCTGAGGTGGGCAGCAGAGTGGCTCCTGCTCCGTTGGGCACCCAGACCCTGCGTTGGAGATCAGCTCAGTGGTAATGGGCTCAGCTCACCGGTGTGGGTGTATGTGGGGAGGGTGCGGAGGAGTCGGGGTCTCTGGCAGTCTCGTGTCAGCTGGTAAGCTCAGACACGGCTGCCTCAGGCAGAGCAGGGCAGGAGAGCAGTTTGCTGGGGGTCTTGCAGCACTCTGTGAGGCTGGGATTCATCCCAAAGCTTCTTGTTTGGGCTTTCTCAAATAGCTGCATCACACACAGAACCAACTTTCATCACAGACTGCAGGATGCTGCCCTTTTTACAAAAGGGAAAGAGGACCTGTCTTTATGAATATTACTTCTAAGCGTTCGTATTCTCTGTGATGGCAGATCAGGAATACATACAAAAGTCTACATTTTCTCCTTCTTTTATTTTTTCCATCTGTGTGTCCATAATTCAATTATTCTGGTAACTGCAATTCTTTTCATAGCAGGACCCATTTTTACTGTTGCACATCCCCTGGCACAACAGAATGTGGGTCCATGGAAACGTTGTTAGGCTGCCATGGTGATGCAGTAACTGTTTGCTTTGTTTTCAGGCACGTCATGTCTGTTCCTCCAGATCTTCATCAGCAGTATTTGCAGACTTGCCAAAACCTGAGCCAACCTGAAAATCACTTTGTTGCTCGTGTGCTTCAAGAAGCTGATAAAGGCGATAGCAGGTAAGAAAATAACAATCAGCATGTTTCAGATACTTCTGAACTCCTTAAACAAGATGGTAGGACAAGAAATGCAGCAGTGGGAAAGTTTGAGCAGTTTCAGGTTCGAACACAAATCGCACTTAACATTTACTGCAGAGGTTCTGGTTTGACTCATCCTGACATCATCTTGGCAAAAGTCTGTAACTGTATATCCCTCCTGGGCAGCTTTACAAGCAATAAAATCAGAAAAGTGAAAAACGGGAAGAATGGTAACTTTACGTCCCTTGGAGAAGCCAAACTCACTATCCAGTCATCCTAACTCCCTTCCTGATTTCTCGCTCCTGTTTAAAAAGGCTCAGCTGCATCCAGTTTGCTTCCAGCTGATAGTGCTTTCCTGAACTGTCTCTGAGTCCTGACAAGGTGCTGACCACACAAATTGCTTCTCCTTTTGTGATTAGATAGTCCTTTCTCTCAGGGATGCACCTGGGGTTGGAGTTAATTGCCTTTTGGAGAGAGAACACAGGACAAGACAAGGTTGGGCAGTAGTTTGTGTTAGCTGTTCTGCCTTGGGGGCAGGATAGAACAAATAAAGAAAAGAAGGAACAGATGAGATTACCCCTGGGATAGTCTTCTCTATTTTCATCTGTGCTTTTCTTGTCTTGCTGCTTCTTGCTCTCTGTGCACTTGTGTAGCTGTGTGGTACCTTCAGAGTAACAGGATGGGTAGCTAACCACATGCAGGCATGCCAGGGAGGGCAAATAAGAAAGTATTCTTTTTACTAATATTTTCCTTCTTATGTGATTACACTTGTATGTTATAGCAGACAGACAAAAGGGATCACGTTAAAAATAGCTGGAAATAATCGCTTAGTGCCCGTGCAGAGAGTTACAGATGAAGATGTTCAAGTTCTTGCCTCTGTCTTATGCAGTGCTGTATTTGTCACTGGTAAGTATTTTTACATGTCTGATGTCAGTGCTAATATTGTGCTGGTTTATCGCTGGGCAGTGAACGTCGCACACAAAAAAATAAAAGAAAAATAAAAGAATACTAAAAAAATAAAAATAAATAAAATTAAAATACAAAAGAAAACACAAGCAATCTTGATTTCAGTTCATCTTTATTTCTTTTTGTTTACAGATAAGTAGGCAGGGAGCCTACAGAGGGGAGGGGAATCAACTCTTTGAAAGGGTAGATAACAGCAGGATGAGGGGAAATTTGAGGTTTTAAGCTGAGGGAGGGAAGATTTAGGTTGGATGTCAGGGGGAAATTCTTTACAGAGAGAGTGGTGAGGTGCTGGAACAGCTGCCCAGAGAGGCTGTGGATGCCCCGTCCCTGGAGGTGTTCAAGGCCAGGTTGGATGGGGCCCTGGGCAGCCTGGTCTAGTATTAAATGAGGAAGTTGGTGGCCCTGCATGTGGCAGGAGGGTTGGAGATCCATGATCCTTGAGGTCCCTTCCAATCCTGGCCATTCTGCAATTCATTCTGTGTTTCTGTGATAAGTTAATTGTAGGAATGCACCTCTTGCATTATTTTCAATCTTTTTTAGGATTGGATCTGAGATATAACAATCTGACTGATGTTGGAGTAAGGCACATGGCAACGTTCCTCCAGGTGACAAAATGATTGTATTTCGGAAATGTGGTTTATTTGGCTATGATAATATTTCTGTGGTGTATTTGAGACCAAGACTGCATTGGTTTGGCAGAATTCCATTAATTTGACTTTTGCATCCAAATCTCTCCTGTTAGGATCTCAGATTATGGTCTCTGGGATGAATTTGAACTTCTGATAGTATAAGATATTTGATTAGGATGTCTGAAGAAAGAGCAAGACATTAAGCCAGGGGTTTTTAAGCTAACGTTCAATTCAACAAAGGATGTAGTGGTAGCATGGATTGTGCCAGGGCCTTTGTTTTATATATTTTGTCCTTTCTCAGCCTTTCTGTGAGTCTAAACTTAGGAACCTTTGATGCTGCCTTTTTACAGTTGTAAACACTGGCACGCAGATCAAAAACAGTGACTTCAAATTCAGTGTCTGTGCATTCACAAAATACCTGCAGGTCTGTATCTGAGCTTCACCTGCCTTGTGTGATCCCCTGAGCTCCCAGTTGGCCTCATAGGACTGTGAGCATTTACCCGCTGTGTGTTTTTATGAGATGGGTACATCTTGTCTGATGTACTTTAGCATTCTTTAACTGCTTTTCCGCATCAGGGGCTGCCTGTAATGTGGTGCAGGACAGAGGTTGTAAGTACATGTATAGCATGTCTCCTTTTTGAAAAGTGCAGGGCTGCAATTGGAGGAATTCTCATTGCTTTCTGCTTTATTTCTTCTGAAGGAAAACTCAACTCTGCGATACCTTAACCTGATGTTTAATGATATTGGCACGAGTGGAGCTGAGCTGATAGCAAATGCTCTCCATGTGAGTATTAGTCTGGGAGATTTAGACAATGGCATCTCGTTTGATATTTTCTGCTTCTGATGAGCAGTACGAGCTGTCCTGCCAGCATAAAGCTGGCTGAAAGAGCCCTCTGTCCTCAGCCCCTCAGCTCTTTGCTGTAACACAGCGACTGCTTGTTTTCCCAAGGCAGACTTCAGAAATCAGATTTCACACAAGAGAAAGTAGCCCTGTGCTGCCATTAGTACTTAATTATCACAACTGTGTGATAATTTTCTGTGTGAAAAGTGCTGTTGTGCTGTAGGATGCATAATGTCATCAATGTTTTCCTTAGGTTATGAATTTTTAGAATTGCGTGTGAAATTTGCCTGTACCTTAATGTCAACAAATGTCCTGATTCTAAATGCCTGAGGCAGGTTTTCAAAGCTTTGCCTCACAGCAGCATGAAAATGTTTGTTGTTTTTAACATGGTTTCCCAAGGAAACGAGGCCAGCATGTAAGGTTTGTTTTGTCTATGAAGTGAGACTCACGTGGGCTCTTCCTTCCTTCTTCGTGGTCTTTGAACTAATCTTCTAATCTCAGCTAAATTTGAGAGGCCTGAAATGCTGAGACTGTATGATAGGACTGTGCATTGCCAGTTCATGCAGAAATATCTGCCTGGGTTATTTTCAGCTGCTTAGTGCTATCTCTTAGGCACAGTTCTTCTGGAGGGACCTACTGTCTGTGTGTGACAGTGAGCAGGATCCGCAGGAAAAAGGGCAGTCATATTGTTATTAAGAGAATTGAAAGAAAATGATTTTACTTTTTTTTTTTTTTTAATTTTGTCCAGAGCAATGAAACTCTTCTGCATTTGAGAATGACTGGAAACAAGATAGGCAATAAGGGTGGAATGTACTTTGCTTCAATGTTACAAGTTAACTGCAGCTTAGAGAAGTTAGATCTTGGAGACTGTGATGTGGTGAGTAAACCAGTAGAATCATCAGCAGTGAAATAACTCTTTCAGGAGTATTGCAGAGGTGTTGCAGTGCTTGATTAAGAGAAAATGCCATCTGTAGCCATTGATTTTGCATTTTATGATGGCTGGAGGTAACACAAAACATAATATTGTAGTGTGTGCTTGGAAGAGCATGTTGTATAAAACACTGAGGTCATAACCAGTGACACATTGCAGCCACTGCCCTAGGGAATTCAGGTGCTTGGCTTTCACATACTCCAGCATTGTTTCTTCTGTTCCCATTATTTATGTGTATGTATACACACATATATAAATGTATGTATACATATACACACACACACACACACATATATATATATATATATATTTAATAACTATATATTTATATTTGTGTGTGTGCATGCAAATCCTGTCTGATTGATGCTGCAGAAAGGTGTTGCTCTCCTTCTAAAGTGCGCAGTACTCTGAAGCTTGAAAGTTATCCTCCTCATAGTTCTGTTGCTCGTGTTGGAGCTCAGCTCGTTGATGCCATAGGTGTGGCAGTGCTGAGTTGAGCACTAGCTCGATTTTAGATAACTTGCTGCCTCCTGGAGTTGAGTGCTGGGACTCCCCTGAACTTCAAGGGGAAAGTCAGGAGAATAGGAACTGGCACAAGGAGTAAGTTTGACAGTAACTGGAGGCAGGGAGAGATTTGGGGGTCAGGTTAAAATGTTGTTATATAATATTCGTTTCGTGGAATTACAGAATTTTCTCCCAAACTGGAAGAGGGAAATACCTTCCAGGAACTGGGGAGGATGTTATCAATACATGAACAAGAAAAGTGTTGCCGGAGTGAAACTTATTTGGATGCTTCATCTGTTTACAATTGATAGAGAGTTACCAGATCCGTTTTAAAATGAAATGTCTTTGAACGTAGACAAGGCTAATCAGAAAAAAAACCATGAACATAAGTTAGGAGCAAAATGAGGAAATAGAAAGATCCCAAACTGGCCTGTATTCTAGACTGACAATTCTGTACCATGTTAATTCACATGCAGTGTGCATTTACCTAGTGGAGAAGTGTTAGCTAAGACTGAAGATTGTAGGGAACACTCAGAAGTTGATTTTTCTTCTTAAATCAGGAAGACTAATGTAAGGATCAATGAAACAGACAAGTACCTCTTGGAGATCCATCATACTTGCTTTTTATTTTCTGAGTTGCTGGATTTCCTAGCTGTTTATAGTTCTTAGTCTCATTCCACTGCTGTTCTCAAGAGATTGGCATTGGTGCCAGCAGGCACTTGCTGACTGCACTTATTTCTCCAAGGTACAGGAGGCAGAAGTAACACTATTTCCAACCAGAGCCTGCCTAGTGGTTTTGATCTTCTGACAATCCATTCTAAGAAGTAATATGGTGGCTTGACCCATTCACCGGACAGGTTTATCTACAAGACTTGCCTGTTTTCATTTGCAGGGTACACAGTGTCTAATAGCAATAGCATCAATCCTGACTCAGAACAAAGCAGTCAAAGCAATAAACCTAAATCGTCCACTGCTGTACAGCCAAGAGGTAAGGTAATAGACTGCAGTGGCAGCTCAGGCAAAGAGAGGAGCACAAGCCAAGTCACTACTGATAAGTTTATGGACATCTGGGCTACTCTGGGTTTTCTTGCAGTGATAATTGGTTGTGGGAATACTTTATTTTCTTTTTGGTCCCAAGTTTTATGCAGCCTCAGGCTGCCCTTGTTTAACTGGAAGGTTAATTTTGTTTTTTTTCTTAGTACATATGCATTTATGAAGTAGTGTGCTAAGGGAGATGACTGGGTGTTACTGAACCAAATATTCATTTTGCTGCCAGTGCTTGGAGAGTTTTATGCATCATTCAGCAAAGTGAGGGACAAAAGCTGTTTAGCAGGAACTGAGGGAAGGACAAAAGACTGCTTTTTATCTGAGCAGAGCATGGGCGATTGCCAGAGGCTGCAGCCTAAAGAAAGGCATACTTAACAATATCCCTTATTCACTGTGCCATGGTTTTGTTTCACTATGTGGACTTGCAGCTTGAATTTAACAAGTGAATGAACCTCATCAATGTAAAACCTATGATGTGTTTTCTATCCAAAACAAAGACACAAGAACTTCCAAAACAATCGAGCACTGAAGAGAGATCAGTGAGGCAGTGTTTGCTGTAGGCAGCACCCTGGGCACTGGCTGTGTATATGCATAAGATCTTCTGCCTGCAGCCATGCAGCTCCTGTGCCTCATTGCTCCTGCTGTTTCACCAGTGTCAGCAGTTTTCAGGTGCATGAGGTACATACGCTATTTCCCAACGAATGATAATACAATAAATTGTTGTGAAGGCCAGCTAGGTATCCCAGAGATGTTTTCAACAGATTTAAACAGCTGATAGCTTCTTCTGTACTGACAGGGGTCTGATCAACCTAACTGCAGTTCTGCAAGTCAATTTACATCACTCGTATTGAAAGTAAGGGCCTAGGCTGTACCTGTGGGAAACTTTCTTTTTGCCATTGTTGTCATTTGCTGAGGCCTGTGGCTTGTTCCCTTATTGTTGACTCGAAGAACTCATTCAGTTATTTTTGTAATAAACAAAACCTTAAAGTAGATTTACAGTGTCTTACAGTGACAGGGCACATTTCTCTTCATAGCAATCACATCTCTTTTCATAAAATAAGTGTCATGATAACATACTTCTAATTTGCTGAAAGCTGCTCCAAACACAGTTTTGTAAAAGCAACGACTGGGAAGGAAATTGATGAGATAAGTGATTCAAGCATTGATGCTCCCGATACTTGCAGGGATGTACAGTACTGTAAATCTGCAAATACTTCTGTTATTTTTCACTCTTTTTTTGGTTGTAACAATGCATCAGTGCCTGGCTATTTTCAATACAAAGCTGTGATATACAAAATAGAACACCACTGACAACCAGGGTTAGCTGTTGTACGTGTCTTTTACTGAAGCAAGACCATGTCTTATCCTAAAGTATAGTTTAATAAAAATGAGTGTTTACTTCTAGGAAGAGACGACAGTCCGCATAGCTTTGATGCTGAAAAGTAATTCTTCTCTTGTGGAACTACATTTGTGCAAGCACGAAATTAAAAGCCTTGGTGTAGAGCGACTGTGTGAGGCATTGTATGAAAACTGCAGCCTGAGATACCTTGATCTGAGCTGGTAAGAGTTAGTACAGGACCTAACCCACCTGACATCAGATGCTCGTTTTCATAGCATCTCTTTTATAAATATATATGCACATCTCTTTCAGTAATAAAATAACTCGTGACGATGTGAAATTTTTGGGAGAACTACTGAAACAGAACCAAACTCTGGAGATCCTCGATCTTAATTCAAACCGAATAGAAGATGATGGAGCTATCTACTTGAGTGAAGCTTTGGCTTTGTACAACAGGACTCTTAAGGCGTTAGTATTTCAGTAACTTCCTCAGGGATTGCAGGCATAACCACTCCCAGTATAAGAAACACAGACTCTGCGGTGGCTGAACTGATGTGAAAATTGTGCATTGATGTTACCAGTCAAAACAGAAAACTCACAAAGTTCCAAACTTCTTGGTTCAGCTGAGGAAAGAAAAACTGAGTGAAAGTATGGAGTTCATTTTCCTAGCCATAGGTGTCTACTTTCTTTTTTTTGGGGGGGAGGGTGAGGATGAAGTTTAAATTGCTTCTGCAATGGTTCCAACCATCTTACCTGTGACTCAGTCATTTTTACATTCATTTTGAGGAGCAGGAGAGAGGCTGTTAGATCTTTATTGTTCTTTTTGCACCTTTAAAGCACAGGTCCCTGTGTTGCACAAGCATAAACAAACTAGGATCTGTAGGTCTTCAGAATTTTAAGCTAAGCAGATTCCATAAAAGGCTAAGGCTCTATATTTGTTGATTCTGAAAATCCTCTGTTTAAATTAGCTTCCGTGTGAACCCAGAAGAGCTGTAATCTGTCCATCAGTGTGCATTCTGTAGCACGCATTAAGCCATGCACCAGCAGGAGCTGTAAAGCTGATCAAAGGTGTTACCTGAAGCCATTAGTTTTAAGTAGCAGACTGAGGAGGTGGTGTCTGCTAGGTGCCTTTCAGGCTCACCAATATAAAAATAA